TTTTAATTTTTTAAAAAAATTAATAATTTTTTTTTTTTTTTTTTTTTTGTTTGCAATTATTCAACAACCAGTTTTGCAGGGTGTTAGCGAGTCAAGGGTGCGATTTAAAGTTTATCGTACAGTTTGGCAAGTGTAGTAGGTTTTGTGTCGGTTCATTTTAAAATGCAAATTATTTTGTTGTCATAAGAGAGAAGGTAACTTACTCCTTGAACTATTGTACGCACGTGAGAACAAAAGTTTTTGAATAAAATGTAACATTTTTCTTCAGTCTCTATTCTTATTCTCCAACATATCTTACAAGAAACCACCACTAAATCTTTCATATTAGATTTTATTTTAAAGTTGCCAGTATTTGATGTCCATTAATCGATGTTCAACTGTATCAATTTAAATACTTAAATTGTACGCTTTGAATTCAATTAATATAATTACAATTAAAATAAATAACAATAAATACAATTTTAATTTAATTAATTTAAATAACTAAAGTATACATTTTTAATTCTATTATTAATGGACGTTTCATAATAACAATTTCAATATACTGTAAACATCGTTAATAATCGATATGCGATGGATTGACAATTACAGCATAGTTACATAACTGATATATAATATATAACGATAGAGAGAAGGTTTAATCATATCAAAGAAAACGAATTACGTTCATTTACTTTGTTATTTATATTATTTTGACATTTTCCCGGCTACTGACTGAAACCGATCATCGCAATGATTCAATGTCGAGGAATGTTTAGATTATCGACGCTCAGTTCGACGCGAACATCGAAAGTTGACACAAGTCGTCGAGAGAGGTTTGCACGTTATATCTCCTACATAACTATTACAATGAAATAATATAACAATTGGATATACAGGGTGAATTATTAGTACTCACAAGCTGATAGGTAATATGTTAATAATTTTTATTAATCGTAGTATTTAAAAACCGAATATAATAAATACAAGACGCGATAAACATAATTGCAGATATACAAAAAAATTATAGGATAAAGAGAATAATTCAAATTTTTGTGCAAGATTACACCATTGATAATGTAAACGCGTGGAGTGTATTTTACCTTTATCGTCACAAATTCTATTCGTAAGTGAAAATTCCGAGAAAATAACAAGACGAGAAAAGAATTAATTAGTCCGTAACACGTCCTTTACTTAGCTTATTTAGCTCATTATTTATTTTAATTCTACAAAGTAGAAACGATGCCAAGTATCAAACAGTTAAATAGCTCGGTGTAGCTTTCGTTGCTTTTAATTAATAAATAATAAACTTTAAAATGGTCATATTTACCGGTATGTACTGAACAAAACTACAAGTTACTTCGGACTAAATTTTATTTTACTAATGTTTATTTTCCAGCTTCATGCAAACGTATTTGTTAAAGGTGGCAAAATTAATAAACGGCTGGGTACGTTGTTTGAGAATAATTTTTTAACGGGATGTTTAATTTAAATTGTCAAAACTATCGAACATTATTCGAAACACGTTGCTTTCTTCTAAATCTAATGTGCTTTTTAAAGAGAAACAATAATATGGTTATATTTTTTGTGTTGGCTGTTTCAAGTCATGGTACGACTACAAACTGCGATGGGAGCCGAAGGAGTACGGTGGTGTTCACATGTTACACGTGCCATCCGACCACATATGGCGGCCCGACATAGTCCTCTACAACAAGTGAGTCTGTCTGCTGTTTCTTTGTTCCATATTCTAATTACATCTTCTATAGTTTCACATTACATACTCTATACATATAGTAGTGGCACAGCATGCTGCCAAGAGATTGAAATCGATTGGGTGTTCATTTCTTCGACAAATCGACGCGTCATTTGCACTTTGATCGAAATCCCGAAATTTCCTGGCAAAATGAAGCACCGAGAACAGGCAAGATCGAAAGAAGATCTTTTGTTATTGTAAAACCTCTACTATTTCCAGCGTCTTAAAGAACGAACAGCAAGAAGATGAGAGTTTCTAATTATTCGACCTGAAATCATCTTTTAATTAATATTTACCCAACATTTGATCGCGATGTAACGAGATACGAAATGAATTTAACTCGGTGGAAATTTCTCATCTCGCAAAGGACGAACATCAAACTCAAGAGATCAAAAGTTTCTGCAAAAAGATATTAACCGACTAATACAGTGTACACTGTACACGTTCGTGCACACGTCAGATTATGACAAATTAACGAAAGGAGAAATGAGCGTCCACTCGACTTAACAAGAGAGGTACCATCGTCGTGCATATTGCATTTCAAAGTAGTACAGTCTATTTGATGTCGGAGTGCAACTCATATCGCGACATTGTTCCGAAAGTTACGGAAAAATGTGAGGTATCGTCGACTCGAAGATTTTCAAATATTAACTTCGAACTTTCCAGCGTGAACGACGAATGAGATTCATCAACGATTCTCATCCCATTTCGGCGTTACTGTTACGTGTACCCTATCCGATGTTTGCCAGAGTTGCTGGTGTTCGTTTACTTAGAACCGAGAGAACGAAATGTTACGATGTGCAAACTAAAAAAATACTTTTGATCGAATCGAATCTCGTTGATATCCGTATTATTCGTGTTTGCTCGCAGTGCATCGATAACGAAATTGCGGGATTAATACGCTTGATCGAAAGCTTATTTATTTGAAATGCTGTTGCACGAAATGTCGCTGAGCATTCGTTGTTTCAGTTGTCTGAACATTTTATTAAAAAAAAAATAGGTTCTATCTTTCAAACTGTGCATAACATTTGATACTATTCTTTAAGTTATTTAATCATGATTGATTCGTAGAAACTGGAAGCAAACAAATTTAATGCCTTTTCGGTATTCTAAAGATCTTCCGAAAATGTCCGTGATTCGATTCGCCTGAAATCTTGAAAGTAGATTCTTCGTAGACAAAAAGAGGAGAAGGACTTTTAGCGATTCGAAAGTTGTCATTTTTTTTAATTTTTCTAAACATAAGCCGAGCCTCCTCTTATTTCCATTTCGTCCTTTTCTCATGTTTTGTATACCATTTTTCACACTCGATTGTTGTTTTGCGATCAGGTAATCTTTTGGCAGGAAAAAATGAATCTATTCGATTCAACATTTTCGAAATATCATGATATTGGTTCTTCGGGACAATCGCGTGGCTGTTGCATTTGCATTTTGCGCCAACGTTTCGTAGACATTGCAGTCTACTTCTTCAGCGCAGCCCTGAAACTGAAGGCTTCCCAGTGTCTTCATTTATACTGCGCGATGTTCCAGTCGGCTGATCAAACTGATGACTGAACTCGCAAGTATAATTGAAGACAACGGGGCCTGAAACTCTGAGTGTTAGGTTTGCCCTGAAAAAGTAGACTGCAATGTCTACGAAACGTTGACACGAGATGCAAGTGCAACAGCTAAACGATTGTTCCCGAAAAAACAGTATCTCGAATTTCAGAAATAGCTGCCAAACAATTTTTAGATTTGTATTTAGTGTTTGTTATGGGCCAATTAATTTTGAATTACGAAATTTAATGTAAATATCATGTATTTGTGATTTACAGTTATTCAAAAATTTGATCGCACGTACTCAGATTTTAAACGAAATTATCGTCACAGGGAACACGGTAACAAAAATATGAACACTCAAATTATCTATCGAAACACTTATCGTACCATTCGTATCCGAAAATTGAATTGAAATGAGAAATGAGAAATATCCGCCACTTTTGAACAACACTTGTTCGCTTGTATCGATAACACGTTAATAAACGAGAGGCGGTTTGGCCTACGTTCAATTTTTTGACTCAACGTATATCAGAGAGCAACGTCGCACATCGAAAAGCACAGGAAAAATGAAGAAATGTTAAGAGTGTCTGAACCTTCGAGTTGCCTAAAATCCTCTCTTTTTATCTAAAAGGAACCCATTTTCAAAGCTTCGCCTAAATCGAAACACGGACGAATTCACTTTCGAAAGAAGAAGCTGAACACCGAGGCAGCAAAAATTAATAAATACAGCAGACAAATTAGATGAAATTAATTTATTGTGACGCGACTCTCGGGACGCACGCGCTATTCGAATTAGCCGATGACAGAGCATATCTGTCAGACGCGTGAATCCATAAAGTTCTCATACATATAGCGCTGTAGGGAAGGAACTGATTATCAGTGCAATATTGAAATACCCATATATATATATATATATATAGATCATTATTTTCCCATTATCGGGACATTTATGTAGCTCGAAAACGCCGCTATTATGCAGCTATCATCGCTACCAGGCACTGACCCGATAATACGGATATCGTAGATTCGCGCAATTCGTTCACGCCACTGGCCTGAATCCGTCTACTCTGTGAACGGATGTCTCTCGGCGAACACCAAAACGATCGGTAAAGAAAGAAAAACGAGGAACGATAAGTAAATTGAAACGGAAGGTGAATTAAGCCAGCACTGGTTCAGCAGTTTCGCAGTTTTCTTGCGTCCTAGTCCAGCACATGTTTGCGTAACTTTTGCCCTGTTCGCTGATAAACGAGCCAGAGCCCAAACGAGCTTGTTTCACTCCTTTTCCCTCGGTTTTTGGCTCGTGTTCGACACTCACGGCGAGCTCTCGATGTAGTTACCGGATAGATTATTATTCATATCGCATGAAACATGGGCGCTGCGGCGAATGTTCGTGTAAATGGTTCTTGACAAACGGGCCGAGGTCACGAGAGAAACGTTTCCGCTCGTTCGACGCCGCGGTAACTTCCGACGCTGCCGCGGATCTCCTTTGATTATACGCCGCAACGTTTACGGTCTCCTCGAGATTCGAACGACTGCACATCCACGGCTAATCACTGTTTTTTTAAGCTGCGTCTGGATTCGCCGATTCTTCAGATTAACGCGATACGAGACGTTAACATTTATCGTGGATTCGAATCCCGCGCCGAATGATCGATGTCGTAAAATATATGTCGAAGAAACAATCACTTTTTGCGCGTCTATTTCTTATTCGTAGCGAGTATCGATTCGATTGAAATTACCACGATTAAACGCAACGGGCGTGTCGTAACTAATTTCAGTTTTGAATTCGATGTTGTTTTGTGTTATATTAAGTGTTGGTTTAATAAGGTGGGTATATGAAATTAAAATATCTAAGATAAGAACTGAGCAGGTGTTTGGTACTTTGGTATTTTGAACGAGGTTGGATCGTGTGGAAAATTAACGAATATGAAATGGGCCCTTATTTCGATCTATAATGAAGAAACATTTTGAGAAACAGGAGCACATTCGATATTTCTGTGTTATGTGTATTAATAAAAAGATTATATATTTATCATTAGGAATACGTGAAGCAAAAACTGTGAATATAAAGCTTGCACTTTACGACAAATTATTTTAAAGCGAAATAATGTATCGTCTAAACTGAATTCAATTTTAGACACATTTATTTATCATTCAGTATCGAACATACTTAATTTACGCACTATATGCTAAATTGCAAACGTATTTTGTACTTTTGTTACCTTTTGTTATCTAATGTTTTAATTGTAACGTATTACTGAAGCTACTGAGAAATACTGAATTTTTATAATATTTCTGTAATGAATTTTTCATGGTTTATTAGTAGAATTAATATCGCATTACATATATACCAGGCATGTTCTTGTGAAAAAATTTATATCTAAAGAAGTTTATTTTACAATAAGCATTCGTTTAAAAAAATGAAATTAACTCGTTCTTTTTACAACAGCAAAATTACGTACTTAAAAGATCACGGTTGAGAATATATAAGAGTTTCTATCAGCATTACAGTTTCATCTATTTCCAATATTATTTGCAATGTCATATGTTGTAAACATTTTCTAACTTTGGACATAATGTATTTTTGCGAATTTATTAAGCATTCAATTTATTGTAGTACATATAAAAAATAATGACTTACTATTGGACGAAATATTGATTACAATACAAATATTAATTAATGCAGTTGTACAAATACTTCTATCTGGATAATCAACTAATTTAATTAACATTTCTCTGCATACTTACATTCATTACCGTAAGTATCTGAGTATAATAAACAGACATGTATCCAGGTCAATAATATATTTATTCCTTTTGTTAAATAACTCCTAATAGATTCTTGCAATTTGTGCTACAGGATATTTAGCAAGTTGTTTCAGTTGTTGAGGATATCGCGTGGATGTCAATTCCAATTGGTTTAGCACTATTACAAGAATATATTTATATTTGATCTTGCGTCAAAAGGGTCTGAGTTGCTCCTTTTTACCGTCTTTTAACTACACTGTCAGTGTTCAGTGTGTTGGCTAGCGCTTTTGGCTTGCTTATGGCTCTTGACTTATATGTGCCGGATATTCGCTGAATTCTCTCCTTTATGGCGAAGATTTGAACATCTTGGCGTAGTTCTTTATTTCGTACGTATCAAAGTACGTCTATTGTTGTGTGAAGTACGATTGTTCGCAAGGTTTCCACTTTGTGACTTTCTGCCGATGTGTCCATAATTGTTGGACGCCATACGCCCACATTGGTTTCATTATGCCTTTACAGATTAGTAGTCTGTTTTCTATATGTTGTTTCTGAGTACTTAGTTTGGAACGGCTGTTGGTTAACCAGTACATGCCATTCCCTTTAATCCTCACTCGTTGTATTTTTTAATATATAATATTTTATGATATATAGTTTTATAATATATCTTAGTATTACGT